TTTCTAACCGGCATGCATCTCGCAGTGATCACCGGTGATCGGTTCTGTGCAGATTTTGCTCATCTCAAACAAGCCTATTTACGACTCTTGATCTGGCTGCCTCTGACGTGATACCTGCGATATCCAATGAGAGCGAGCAAGCATCACTTACCGGATGTTGCGTGCTTCTATAGCTGACAATTGGCAGCCAGAAACATGCCACGATAGCATAATACATCACCCATATTCTCTGTTATACTTTGTTTTTCACTATGAAACAGAACGCGCGCCGGGAGAACTAGCTGACAACGATTGTACAACTTATACAGCATTTATTAATCATCTAAGTTGAGATTAATGTTTACTAATATATATTTTAAAAAAAGTTGTTTACTAACAGCCATTGCACTGGGAACTAACATGACCAAACAATTCACAATGTTTATTACCTAATATTAATAAAGGTTTGTAAATGTAAAAAATATGTTCGTTGCCAGTTCATGTCAGCTGATGCATTAACCAAAGTTAACAAAAGAGACCTTATTGTAAGTGTTTTTTTTTTTTCTTCATTCTAGATTGGATGAACACAAAGGCACTGCTGTCGGGAATATGTACAGAAATGCAACAGAAGCTAAAGTGTTCCTTCATTACATCTCTGAGACTGAGAGAAGAAAAATAAAAGAGAGGTTGGACAGAGCAGACACATCTGAGGTTGAGGGGTAATGGGTGCGAAAAAGAGAGTAGGCTAATTTGAGTGTCAGGCTTTCAGTCAATGAAATTAATTTACTATTCAAAGAAACTGAAAAAAATTAAGTTAATAAATTAATAAATCTGTGGTCTTCATCCCTCTTGGGGTGGTGCCGCTTTTCTCTCTAGAAATATGGCACAGTCTTAGAGTTTGTACTTGACTAACTGGGGCCCAGGTCAGGAAGCAGACAAGACTGGCTAAACCGACCGTCTGCTAGCCGCCTCACGTCACAGAAATCAGTTAATTCTCAGCACATAGTGACTCTTTCACCTAGATATCACACTATAGAGACTGTGTCTGTTCCCCGGACTAGAAAATACAAAAAACGTCCAAACCAATTAAAGAGTAACAATTTAATTGATGTTCAACAAATAAAAAACAGATGTAATATGGATAAACAAATGATAAAGCTTGGCTTATTGAATATCAGGTCCCTTTCTACGAAAGCACTCTTTGTAAATGATATGATCACTGATCATAAACTAGATGTGCTCTGTTTGACAGAAACCTGGCTAAAACCTGATGATTACATTATTTTAAACGAGCCTACCCCCCAAGATTACTGTTATAAACATGAGC